GCGGCCAAATGTTGCATCGCCTGGGCGCAGTTTGACGCGCCTGCGAAATACTCTCGAAACAATGCGATCCGCGGGAAAAATAACTGTTTAAATAATTGTTTAACAATTTTCGAAGAAGAAGAAAAAAAGAAAATATCAAAATCCGCCCCAAAAGTTTTCGTTAAATTTTCTTTACATATGTAATAAGGAACGGTAAGAAAAATGGAGCTAGCCTCATTGTCTGATATTACTCGTTTCCTTCGAAAATTGCCAAAAACATTTCAAAGCTACAAACTTGAAGATTTTTGCCTCAGGCAAACAACGTCTTACAAAATACTTCAAAAAAGGTCATGTTCAATTATTTGAGAAAAAACGAGTAGTTCTTTCGTAATTTCTCCTTGAAACTAATTAAATATATACAGATTTCACACCAACTATATAAGAATAACAAATATACATTGTGCATGGAGTTTTAGATTTTGTGGCACTCCGTGATGAGTATGCAGTCTGAAATTTTGAATCTGCTTTTCTTGAAAATATAGGAAATACCTTAAAAGAGCATTCGTTATGAGCATAAGACATAACGTATCCCCAAAATATGATTTGAACTGTTTTTTCGCGATTTTCTTTCCTGTCACCTCTCCGACAAGTCCCGTTAATTCTTGCCAGCGTTGTGGAGTTGGAAAGGAATAATTGTTACTGCCTCACATATGAGAATCGGTTTATTCGAGTTGGAAAAATTAAACATTTCCTGTTTTAAGGCGGTCATTTTGCCGCTTGTAAGGTGACCGTAGAGACTCCCAAGGGCGTGCACTATTTTTGAAGGTATAAGGTCGTACCTTAGGTCTAAGGTATGACGTTTTGACTTCACGATCCGTCACGTGACTGTTAGTGCATAACGCCGCTACCTTAAGGCCCATTCACAATGCAAACGTAAACCTAAGCATGGGGTTATCATAAAAGTTAGGACTTTGTCCATAAACGGACTCATTCACAATGCGTTCGCATAAGCGTAACAAGTAAGACGTTAACTTAAAAGCTTGCAAGCTTCTGTGCTTATGCTTACGGAAGACATAAGAAATGAACCAATCACAGAAAGGTAACTCAAAATCGAGAATCGAAATTGGAGTGAAGTCAATAGAACTAATGCCATATGGGACATAGATTCGATATCTTGAAATCAATTCTCACATCCAACCAGTCTCATAGCCAACAAAAACTTATTTTGCATTCGTTTATGTTAGGCATTGTGAATCTATCGCTTATGTTAATGTTTATGTCTATACGCTATGCTTATGTTTACGTTTGCATTGTGAATGGGACTTCCGCGTGGCGGTAAAACTCCCTAATAGGAAGTTTGTGCCAACTCGAATGTAAAGCACTACCGATCTTCTGCTCATGCACCGATGCACTTAGGTGGTGCGAAACTTAAACTGCGCATGCGCAGAAGATCAGTAGAGCTTTACATTCGAGGTGGCAAAAATTCCCTAAGAGGTATGCGACATCCGATGTTTTTTTAACATCGATGTTTATACCTTGAAATATTTTTACCAATTTGAAATTGGATGTAACCTTGACAGAAATGTGAATCATGAAACGGTCATTTTAGAACTCTTATTTTGCATGAAATTGCATGTTTGTGGTTTACTACACAATTCTTTTTTAGGTTGCCTGAAAATTGCACATTTTGGGATTTTACTGGAGGAATTTGCAAGTTTCATTGTGTTATTGCATACGTTATTTATGTAACAAGTCCTTAAAGACTAATAGAGGACGTGTGACCTACAATAATTTTATAATTTCTAATTTTTCTAATTATTCAAAATAAACATTTAACAATTTCATGAATTAAGAATATTGGCATCACTTTCGATGTTTTTTTATCGAGGGTTGTTGGTAGAGGGCTTTGGTACCGTTATTAAAGAACAATCGCATTGCGTGGAAGGACTAAAAGGCCGAAGGGGGACAAGTGGGAAAATGTGGAAGAGGGCATGGGAACAAAAGGGGAAGGAACAAAATGGAGCAAGGAGGGCGTATTGCAAATAGAAAGCACTAGCGTTTGTTCACAGACGGACGGACGTTTTGCAGTCTTTGAATTTTTCGATATCAAAGACCCACAAAACATGGATTCGGGTTTCACCATGTGTTAGAGGACTTTTTTCTAAATTTAGAAACTGAATTTATGCCAATTCGTTACCAGGGCTCCGTAATAAAGACTTTTTTACCGAGAATTCACCGTTTTTTCGCGCACTTCCATAAATTCTCATAGCGATAAAATGAAAAAAAATTGAAAATGCTCAACAAGAATATACTGTAAAATTGATGTGATTTTTACAACTTCTGATTTTTAGTAAATGATAAACCAAATTAAATAGGTAATACTGTACTGCAGTGTTTTAAACTGAATTGAAATTCCCTCTTCCATTAATTCTTAACAATTAAACAAAATTCACTTAATAATGGTACAATATCAACTCGAAAATTAGCTTCTTGTTCTCTAGGATTAATATTTTAGTTTGCTCTGACATAAAACTTTGTTCATAAAATATTTGTTGACATCTCAAGGGTCAAAAAGGTTAATTTCAAAATATGAAACAACATGAAAATAAGGAAACAAAAGTTATCACCATATCCTTGATTTTGATGATAAATCCTTGTCTCTATTTAACTGTGCATCATAGACATTTCTAACACATGTATACAAATCCTTATACTCAACCATGCATCATTAAAACACATTTAAAAAGAGTATTTTTGATTTTCATAGTATTTTTCAATGGGAGTAAGACTTAAAATTTGTGTGCTTCTTGATTTACTGTTATACTTAACAGTAACATGTATATTTAACTATTTATTGAATTAATATTAATATATCACTAATAAGACCAAGTTAAATAATGATAACAAGGAAAGTTAAATCATTTACAATATCCGACAGATACCATTAGAACAGCAAAATATTGTACCCTTTTCAACTCATATCTTATCCAATTTCTTTTAATACTTATCATTTGTTTTTTACTTCTTCCAAGGTGTCAAAAGAATGATTCAGAGATTTTAACATTATCCGTTCGCTACGTTCCTCAAATCTACATCTAAGGAACAATAATAAATATTAAAATTGGGAAGGAAAAATTATGTGTAGTTGGTTCCAGTTGAATTCCCTTCTTTATCAATTTTTTATTTATTTATATTTAGTCACATTAACTGCACAGATGTAAGCAACTACCTCAATGTACATTACATTTATGAACTACAATTCTCTTTACATACAAAAGTTATTGCTTGTTATTTAATAAGAGAAGAGGTTGTTATTAAACTGTATTTAAAAGTTTTATAATGCTAAAGACACATAAATTTACATAAATATTTCAGTTAATAGTTTTACAATATTTTAAATATATTAATAATTATAGTTTGTTAATTCTTTATTCTACAAATTTGAATATAATTAGTTTAGATTGTCACTAAGAAGTATTGACACTTTGTTGGTTATGTTGGGAATATGTGTGAATGATATGGTCTATTGTTAGCATGTATCACAGAAGGGGGTGTCTTATGTAACAGATGGAGATGATTTATTTTGACATGTTCAGTTCTGATTCTAGTTACATCAATGTATTTTGGCATGAGAAGTTCTGATTCTAATTTTCGTCTTTGCAGATCAGTTTTTTGAGTTCATAAAAATTGCTTATTTTCTTTTAAAAATTACTCGTCTTCCAGGATTTTTATCACTCACTCTTTTGTTTTCAAGTCATCGCCAAAACATTTTCAACAGACATTTGGTGGGTGTTGAATATTGTGTGTGTGCTTTATCAGCTGAGGATCAACTAGTTGTTTGTCTTCTTATTAACTCTACTTGTATTTCTAAATGATCAGGAATTCAAATAATTATTTTGCTTATACTTTATGTGCATGGTGATATTGATCCTGAAAGTTGATGAATGGCAGTTAGGGATTTTGTTTATAGTTACTAAAATGCTGGTACAAGCTGTTTGACGCACCATTTTAAGTGCCAACATTAAGAGTGTATATTTCAGCAGTAAGAAGAGTGCAATATTGATGCAAAAGTAATTTAATAGATTTGCTTGGGGCATGTACTTGAGCTTGAGTTTTAGAGGGGGTTATTATTAGATGTGGGTGCAATACAAGTTTTGATATTTGTGTATTATTGCTCCAATTTTTATTCCCCACTCTCCTTTACTTAAGATACTGCTGATAACTCAATTGGAGTATTTGGTATTATCCATGGTGGTATTAGAATAGGTGTGCGTTTTCTGATCAATGTTCTGTATATTAATTACACAGAGATTTGAATAGGTGTGCGTTTTCTGATCAATGTTCTGTATATTTATTTAATTCAGTAGTTGCATTATTCTGTATTTAAGTTTTGACAAGAGTGACTATTATAGATTTTGAGAAATAGGGGCAAGCCATCACTTTGTAATATGTTTGTGGATGAGGCTATTTTTAATAGTTACTAGTTTTTACTCCAGGGCCAGAGATCTTCAAAGAGCCAATGTAGATTCTTAGGCTTCAATATAGTTGAATGTCATCACCAATGAATTTCAAATAGAGTAGGTATGTTACATTCATTCTTTGGTTAGGTCTTGCCAGTTTCTAATGAATTACGATTTGACTTAAATTTCGTTCTTCATGCCTTAAAATATAAATAAATCTTGGGAAAGGGTATTCATCGAAGTTTTAAATAAAATATAATGGTACATGCATTACAAAAAAAAAATTTTAATCGTACTTGTTTTGGGAAGACTAAATAATACTGACTTAAAGTGATTAGAAAATTCACCTCAAACGCAAAAGCACTTCCTTAACGATCGAAATTGAACTAAGGGCCACAAAGATCACAGAGGATATCACAACACCCTAATTCAAACCTTGGTGACCCAATCAAACCATTACGCCGAACAGTGGAACGATGCGCACGTATCACCTGGTTCATACACAAGCGAAAGTCTCAAAGAACCATCACTCAGAACATATCGAAAACAGAGAGAACTTACCTTTTTGTACTCGGCTCCGAGCGTTGAGAATTGTATTTGAGACCAGCAGAGACATTCGTCGAGCTGCCAGCTTTATCTACTCAAATTCCCCTATTAACCTCCGAATCCGTATGGGCATTCTGGAGTTGAAAACAATTTTATGCGATAATGCAAAAAATATGTAGTCTAAATAAATCAGTATTTTTCTGCCAATTATCAACCACAGGTTTGGGAACATAACATGGAATTGTCAGAGCATTTTTTCTTAATTAACTGGTAGCGAGAATACACAGCTTAAAGGTAGTTTTCTTTCCATTTGTTGGTAAATACCGTTGCCAACCTTCATCCAATTACGCGATTTGATCGAATTTGATCAATTTTTCGTCAAGAAAAAATAAAGCATATGTAACGCGTGAGAGAGAAGTTTAATATCTGGGTCAGTTTTTAGCTGCAAAATCTCCATCCCACTTTTTTACCAAACCACCGCCGAAAGAAAATCTGGTCCACGTACGAGGTAGTAAATGGGCCCTTATAGACCACTAGTGGGTGAAAAATGATGGGACAAATTTAAACTCTCACACTTAATCAAAATAATATGCCGCAGACTTTCTCGTACTAGTTAGTTTCCTTACTTCTTTAGTCTCGGCTATATTTTCGGTTTTGTCCCAACCTCTTCTCGGTTGCCATCTACTGGTGCCTAAAGGACATTTGTTTTCGAATTTTCGGTCCCCTTAGGATTCATTTTAGCTATGAAAAATTATTTTTAAAAGTAAAACCTGGTCCTATATGCAAACTTTCGAAGCTAATTTTCACTCAAAATTTTGAGTTTTCAAGAAATTACATAAGAAATTATTTGGAGCAACCAAGAACGCGATAATGTATAGGAGATATGCACAATGTAAATAGAGTGTGAGTAATGATGTGAGAGATTTTTTTAAAATGCGTTTGTAATTTTTTATAAAAACAAAAGCAGAAAAATGACGTTTGTGTGTCTTATACAATGCATTTAGCATTATCCCTACAAAACAGTAAAGAAAAACTGGAGCCGTCTTCAAGAAAATGATGATTTGGAAAATTGTTTGGAGTGCTTCTGAAAATGTTCATTTGAATTTAATATTCACAGAAAACTTTTGAGTTTTCAAGAAACTTCAAGCAACATCATTTAAAGCCCTTGATCTTACAAATGCCATAATGTATATACATTAGAAACAGTTATTACTATGTCTACCAAAAGTGATTAAGCTCCCGATAGGATGAAATCGTGAACAGCTGATTCCTGCCAGGGGCAGAGATGCATAAATCGCAGTACACACAGAGCACATGGACAGCAACAGCAACGACTCTCAAGACTTCTCGCAACATTTACGAGATTCCCAACATACTCAATTTAGATTGTGTTATTAGATTAGTTAAACAATACCTTTAAAAATGCCTTTTTTAAAACATATAATTATATAAAAGTGGTTTTAAATTTTAATGAATGCCTGAATTCATGCCCTTGACAAAATCCTCCAAACTACACATAATGCGCTCTAAATAATAGAACATCTACAATACTGTTCCACCAATTATTCCTCTCACAAGACATCTAGCAGCATTTATGATACCCAACAATGTCCAACTTCCTAAACTTATTTTTTGATGGAACTGAATAAGAACAGCATTTTAACATTTAAGGGGGGGGAATTACATTATATACTAGATTGGCCAACCAATTTTGAAATCTTGAATTTTAATACGTGCTCACTGCCAACTATTTTAAAATCTGAAAAAGTGAGCCCCTTGAAGCTTCAGCCAATTGGATTAATTTTATGTTGTCCCCAAAAGAATTGAACAAAGGAGTTTGACAAATATTATGACACTACTTTTAACTAAATTCATTGAAATTAAGTAGTTCGTTTCAAATTTCAAACCACAATGAAGGGGTGTTCAACATTAAAGTCTCCAAAATAAGAGCCACCCTAATTCAATATCAAAGAAAATTAAATACGAACGTGTACAATACGAACATGTAACATTTGTTACTCGTGGAAAGCACCACCCCATCTAATGCATCAAACCACCACTGATTTTGATTGGATGCAGTTTCCAGTGCTGGAGCTAAATGCTGACAATTGTTATAGTTTATTGATAATTGCAAGTTTGAGTTCAAAGAAAGTCATGCATGTCATAGTGAATTTCTCTAAAACAAATTTCAAATAGGTAGATACTATCATTATTTCTGAAATATGTTAACTGAGATTTTTGTCCTGTATTAAAAAATTATCAACTTTTAACACAATAGTAAAAAACCTCCAGAGAGTCATCACTTGCTTCTGGCATAAAATTATCAAGAACAAATGTTATATTTTGCTTTTGCATTTTCAAATTTCATACTGACTATACAACATCATTAAATATTATCTAACATGGCCACATAATCAATCTGAATTTATTTTGATATTTAGTTCGTAGATCACTCTCCATTTTTGGAACCTCTGCAAACAGTACATAAAATAGGTATTAAAATCATTATGAGCTGTACAATATTTAAATGAAATTGCATAAAATTCAGGGATTCCTAACTCCCATTTTCAAAGCTTTTGTAATATAATTTAAAATTATCTAAATGTCAAGTCACTGTAAATTATACCCACGATTTAAAAATTCTATTGTATTAAAATATTCTCCAAATTAAGCATCTTGAGATGGTTGGTCCAAACATTTTAGGATTTTCCAGGAATAAAGCAGTAACTTGGAATGAAAATTAAAATGATGATGCATGGGATTATTCATTCTGCTCTTTTTACAATTTTCACAGTGCAGAAAATATTACAATGCATAAAAATAGAGCTAGGAATAAGACAATACATTTAAGAAAATGCTTCGACTTGATATCCGTATAACCACCACAGAGCTAGTGTTGAGTGATTTCTTCAAATTGAGCAGTTCAGTATCATCACTGCAGATAAGTGATTTTCATAAACCCATGTAAGTTCCTTGTTAACAACACAGATATACACCTACATTATATACATACATAACTGTACACATGTAAAACCCGCAAGATTAGTTTTTGCACAGAATGATCTGAAAAACAAGGGTAACTGGTACAAAGGCAAAGAAACATTGTGGCTGTCAATAATGAAGTGATCAAATAAATTTAATTAATAGTGATTCATTAACATATGGTCATCCACATCTGTTACACTTTTAAAAATGCTGTGTGCCTTTTCCTTAATTAAAAGAAAGAAAAAAAGGCTAAAATGACAGGTTTAGTACATAGGACCGATAGAATCTCATCCCTAAAGAATCTTTCCATTAACTAAGCAAATGGAGCTGTAATACAAGATACATGTCAAAATGTAATGCCCATTCTTTTCTTTAAGTTGTTTACATTAAATATGTGAATTTGGTCTATAATCTGCATTTTTAAGCAGTGACATCATGGGATCGTTTCACAAAATGGCTGCCACTGGCAAGAAGAATTTTAAAATTTTTAAATAAGTAAAAATGTTTGATTATATACATGAACAGGTGAATAGTATTAATAGAGCAGTTCATGGTGGCAAATATGCACACAGTTTGATGCTAAATGGATATTAAAGGTCCATGTCCGGTAACAGATGAAAAACAAAATAGTGGTGATTGCACACACTACACCTTAAGCCAGTTTGCAAAACTTGGCAGACAATACATGAAGTTTTAATTGCTCACTGCGCAATTACTATTGTGAAGAACCTTGCTAATTACAACAGTTGGACTACTAAAAAAGCCATAAGAATCTGAATTCAAGAGCCAGTTAATGGAATGTACTTTGTACATTTTTGAACAGTACAAATTCAAAACTGTATAACTAACAACAAGAAATTATCAAAATAGCATTATTGAGTTTTCTCAGATTTTGAGAGCAGGATAGACCCAGAGTAGGAACAATCACTAAATCAATAAGAAGATTTAAGTATTGAAGAGTTCAGTACTACTAAAAGAAATTATGAGCATTGTTCTTTTGCAGAACAATGCAATTATACATGTACACTAGGACTTATAAAGGTGAAAATTCTGTTGTCGGATCACAATATGGCACTGAACCATTACTGTCTCTCTACTATTTACTTCACCAGTAAAACAACTCTTTCACTTAAAAATCAGCAATGAAAGGAAGCCTCCAAAACTCATTGCACCATTAACTATGGAATTTCAGCAACATGATTGTATATACACACAATTGCATTAACAGTGACATATTAATTGTGAAAACTATCACAGGCAAAATACATTTAACTTCTTTGAAAACTACAGAGAGAAAAGAGGCATTACCTTTTAACTGTAACTTATGTAACTTAATCACATTAAAACTTTTGAAATTTATTTTAAAAAATTTCAACAAGAGAAATGGATTGAGTTTTACACAACAGCTTAAGAACTTGTCTAAAGCCAACTATCTTTCCCTGAATACAACAACTTACTATCAACTAGTAAATAGTATAATAGTTTATTCCTGAACTGTGGACCAATAATACACAGTGTCTAAAATGTGATCAGTCTTGTACTAATGATGGATTATTTAGAACACTGTCAAACATATAAGACAACAAGGTCAGAGAAAAGTACTGAATAAGTGACTGTTCAAAACAAATAACAACCACCTGAAAATCTTTCCCAACTGCAAACTGTGGACTACATTCAACACTGATCTCTGCATAATTACTTACATTTTTGATTAGATTCTCCTTTTGAAATAAAATTATTTACAGAATGTAAAGTTCTGTCATATTAAGGGCATTAAACAAGATCTCATTATGAAACCATAATGAGCAACAACTCTTGTTCCATGGTACTTGCTCACGGGAAAGTTGGCATGTCTTTACTAAAACTCAATAAACAGCTCTGTGAGCACACCTTAACAAAATTTTAAAGTCATGTGTAACACACTTATCATTCTTTGAGTTAACATAAATAAATAACATGAAAACAAAACAAACCCCCAGTGCCATGTAGTGTATTCACAGTCCTTTGAATTTTCTCATTGCAATCATGGAATGATGAATTTGCACACTGATTAACCTTTCAATCTGTAAGGTTAGACAACTTCCGAAAATTAATAACCACCCACAACTTGTCTGCACTGATGAACCAAAGCCAAGACAGTGCTTAAAAGCAAAGTATTTAGTTCACCTCCCAAATTAATAAATTCATCATTTAAATATATATATATATACTAATCA